CAAAACGGCATCTGATGTGGCAGTGTGTATGAAGCAAATGTGTGTCACTGAATCCCTCCATCATACCAACTGACACCCCACAATGCTTGCTGAACGCTTATGGAGACCAAAGAGTGGATGCTAACATAGTGAGATGGTGGGTGGTGTATTTCAGCAGTGGTGACAGAGACAGTGGTTCACCTCCACTGGTGCAGATTTTTATGAGCACAGTATTCAGGACTTTGTTCATAGCTGTCAAAACTGCATGGTTAATCGTGGTGACTATATTGAAAACAGCACTTTGTAGTTGAGAATTTTCTTTTTCAAATAGTGTTACTTTTCTCTTTCTATCTGCTGTAGTTTCCATGGAAATAAAAGAGGCATTACTTTTGGAGAGACTTAACTAAATATAATGCTTCTTTTATAATATCCTGAAGTAGTTCAGCAAGTAAAAAATTAGTATTATAAGAAAAAAAAAAAATTAACTATATTATGAAACAAGAAGAAAAAGTATTTATTACGCAAAACTGAAGCTAATAATCCAATACCCCTTTTCTACCTGCAGTAAGTTCTGTAGATCCACAACCTGAATCTTATATTGATGAACATGTGACTTAAGACTAATATTTACAATTGTCTCTAATTCTACATAAACACTTTTAGAAGAATTATACAGAGTGCTGTATAAATACTCCTTTTTCAGACATACATGGGCCTAAATCAAATCTTTTTATTGCTGTTTAAATTATTATTTTATAAAATACACTGCTTTCAGAAGTCTCTAACACTAAATAATAAGCACATTCTGTCTTTAAAATAAACAGCTGCAATTTGTGTAAAGAAAAGCATTTGACTCTGAGTTTTCCATGTACTTTCCTTCACAAATCCAAACTGTTGAACAGAGTACTGTCATTGTTGCTTAATACCTACTATTGTGAGGTATTTCAGTGAACAAGTGCAGCACTATCAACAAATATTATTCTATTTCTGAATGTATGTGCTAAAGATCTAACTTCACAGTATCAAGGAGTTCTACTGAATTATAGCCAAAAAAAAGGAGATAGTGGGGAAAGAAAAAGAAAAAAAAAAAAAAAAAGAAACCACTTTTAAGGAATAGTACATGTGATGAACATGCTCCCTTAAAGAAGATTTTTGCAAAGCTGTTTGTAAGCTCATTTAGATCCCCTCCCACTACCCACAGTCTATGCCTACTCTCAGTAACACTGTTTCTCTGTTTTCTCCTTTCTATACAAGTCAACACTGATGGAACATCTTTGAACTTATTTTGAAGTATACACACTTTTTTGAGATTGGATGGCTGGTAATCCAAGGTAAAAATTTGTTATTTTGCCATGCTTTAATCCAACTAACAATACAGCATCTTTCCAAAATCCATAGAAAACTGTCTCTGACTCTACCTCTGACATCAGGGGTCTATGTAACAAAATAGTCTGCAATACTCTCAGAGCAGCCTTCGTACATTAAAATGTATTACTTAGATTACTGCTGTGAATTCCCTTTTCTATTACTTGTGCTGTTATGTCAATTTCAGTTCAGAGTATCGCATACTTGGATTCCACTGCTCCATCACCAAATGGTAGGATTCATGTCACTCACCCATAGCATCACAGAATAACCTAAGTTGGAAGTGACTCACTAGGAATATCAAGTCTAACTCCTGGCTCCACACAGACTACCCAATATTCAAACACTATGTCTGAGAGCATCAGCCAAAAGCTTTTTGAAATCCAGCAGCCCGAGGTCATGACCACTGGGTAATCACCCTCTTGATGAAGAACCTCTTCCTAAATCCCAACCTGATCTTTCCTTGAGAGTAGCTAGCATCTTTGTGAATCAAGCAAGTAACTGTTTAACCCATGACTAGGAGACAGACATCTGGAAGAATCCTTAGAAAACTACACCTGAGAACACCTGAAACTTCAAGAGTTAAGCTTCTAAAATCAAGATTTAAGAAACCATAGATCTTTCTGGATCCAGTCAGAAATGACCTGCTAAAAGCCCAGAAACAATAACCCATCTGTGTTTGTGAAACTTCTGAAGAAGCTTCTCAGGACAAAATACTTCCAAGCTGAGAATTAGGAAAAAAATAAGTAAATAACCTTACACTAGGATAACTATCTGCAGAACTGAGTATTTTACTTTGATCACAATGTGCATTGTCTAGACAAATGGAAACATTCTTCATACAGTAAGAGATATTGGCTATACAAATTCTTATCTAGCTTCCCTGTATTTTTTCATTTGATTCCTGTTGTATGGACACTACTCCTCAGAGCATGAAACAAAAGTTGACTTTACAGAACTTCCCTTCAAGACAGTAGTTTAGAATTTATATTTACTCAAAACAAAACAAAACAAAAAAAATCATTAAAAATGCAATTTTAGCATTAAAAAGATAAATAGAAATACCTATGGCTTTGACATTAGATTAGCTAAGAAAACAACTACATATTTTAAATTCTATATAGTTACACAATTATTAAACAAAACAATATTCAATCTCTGAAGTACAGTATACACATGAAAAAAAAATGGAGTTGTAAATTACAAAAGCACTTTTGAACAATAGGGAAGTTTACAGGAGGTTAGAGTACAATCTCTGAGTTCAACAAATTGAAGCTGAGCACTCAGCTCTGGACCACCTACAGTACAACAATACCTGACTACATAAAGAAAAACCTACATGGATATTTAATACTGCAACAGATTAAAGAAGGCGGTTTTGGTTGTACTATTATTATTAAATTTAGTGGAAAATCAGAAAAATCATACTGTGACAAAGCCATTCAGTCTTTCAGTGTTGCAATTATCACAAACATTTAAATATTTTATTTCTACATAGCAGCAAGGAGAAATGTAGCTCTTTTGCTCTCATTAGCTGTCTAAATTTTTAGACTTGTTCAACTTCTAATATTGCATTTGATTTAAATGTTGATGAACTTGATATTCTGGATGGAATTTGGTCAAGACCATAACAACTAAATGAGACGAAGTTTACTTTTCAGAACACAAGTTCATACTCAGCAGGGTTTACAGAAAAGTTTATGGAACACAGTTTCAAAAGTAACTGTATACTTCTCATATTAAAATAATAGGCTAAGGTTTCCCAGCAAGTCTTAATGCAAACAATATGGTAAGCATGGCAAATACCAGATTAATGAAGAATTTGTGTATTATACCAATAGGGAACTTTTAATAACTACATGATAGGTTAAATTCTCTTTGCGCAGGCAGCTGAATTTTCGTATTAGTATGTGCTAACTCTCTATTATTTGGGGAAAAAATTATATAGTGAGTCCCACATGCTCATGGAAACCATTAGATCATTAGAAACACACATTATGTTTTTTTTATATAGGCCTATATTAGAATCCCTAGACTTGTATCTTCCTTTCTTTTACAGGAAAAACATTAAAGGGCTAAAAAGGGAAAAGGGCTTTTGAACAATAAAAAACAAAAAACCCAACACCGGAATCTGGCAGTTTGGCTTTCAATATGAATTGAAAAGAGGAATATCTGACATTCTCTGTATTTTTACTTGTTTTTTTCCTTTGCTCGTGTTCAGCAGAAAATGTCATTACCATAGTGACCTCTAAAGTTCAGCTTATCTATTTAACAATATGGCTTATTTTAAGTGATAATAGATGAATTTATTATGTTTCTTGTATGTGTTGTTATGGATAGTTCTGTTACTTCACATGATAGAAGCCATGCTAAAAACACTGTAACCATTAAACACAACTTCACTGCATGATCTATGTATTTGTACCTGTTTCTTTAGCAGAGGAGTCAACTGCTTACACATTCAGATTCAATTATTAATTTTTGCATATAACCAAAAGATTTCCCAATATCATGGTACAAAAAAATCTGTTCTTTGACCTCAGAAAGGTAAGGCACAATCTAAATGCAATCTACTATGTTAAACTTTAAAACATTTCACTTTTCTTCTTCTTCATTTAAATCAATACGAGCTTTGTCAAGATTCTTACAGAGTCACGATAATCCTAAATGCTTAATAGCGTATTACTTTTCAAGTAACATCTTAGAATTGATTGTTTCTATCTAATTACTGATTTCTCCAAAACAGCATTTATAACTTCTGACTTACAGGACAAACACACAAATTCTACCACTGTTCATCCCCTCTATACTCATCCTTAGCAGGAAGTTACACTATATCTTTTGTTTCTTTATACATATTATGAAATAAATAGTATTACCATGATATTAAAAAACAGATGTAGCTGCAGAAAGCTAATAACGCAGTACTCAACTAAGCATAACCTATCCAGCTATTCTGCACAAGCAAAGTTATCAACATTTTCCATACTGCAAAGACAGTTTGTATTTCAATTGCATGTTACTTAATTTCAATTAATGTTACTTTACAAGAAAAAAACAATTCATATATTCATCTTCGGAAAAAAGAAAAAAACTCAATAAATGCTGAATCTGTAATATGTATATTAAAATATTACAAAGCATTTTAAATATGTTCTCACTGTCGTGCTCAGCTCACACTTTCTAAGATTAAGTGTTCCTTCAGGTTCTTGAAACATTTATCATCCAATAGCAATTTTCTCAAAATCAGTTTTGCTAAAATTGGTGGTATAAAATACTTTGCTTATTTTAATACTTTAGTATGGGTTGGGTTTTTTGTTGTTGTTGTTGTTTTTGTTTTTTTTTAAAGCACAATGGATGTAACATATTCTTTTTGAACAGCTAAACAAAAAAACAACATTCAATTTCTATTATTGATTACTGTATTACAATATAACCATTTACAGGTAGTAAGATTAAAGTTGATATTTTCATTTTGCAGAACATTTTTCATTCAATCTTCTTACATTAGAAAAAAAGAGAGGATACGGGGGTAGAATTTCACCTTCATGAATAATAAAGCAAAACAATATTATCTTCTCAGAATCAACACATTCAAGCATGTTATGTACTATTTCATTAATGTAACCAGTGAATAAAAAAAATAAGCATCTTACCGTAAACCAAAGACATGCGATTGTTCATAATTGAATAAGGAATGAATTTTTGCTTCTGAGTTCAAAATTATAATTCTGTCAATGATATTCTGCCAAAGAAAGACAAATTTAAAAAAAAACAAACAAAAAACAACCTCCATCTTTCATAAAGATAAAAGTTCCAGAGGAACGTTTACTATAAAACTAAACATATTTTAACTTATATCTGCAGTAAGAAGTGCTTTACCCCCCAAAAATGAAGAAAAAAAAAAATCAATGGTTAGATGAAACCATACACAAGGTTAGGATTTTACAATTAGTAAAAGAAAAAAAATCATTAAGCATACAAACAGATCCTAACATATCAGTATATCCTCTTATTTAGTATTAATTCACGACACAAATGTTAAACTGTTGTTGGGTTTTTTAAATGTCTAAAATGCTTCCTACTTCTTTCATAAATTCAACTTAATTCTTAATCTCCCTATTTTACTGCATATCCAAACTGCTTCTGAAGCAGTAACTTCATTATAATAATAAGAAATGCATTACAAAACTCACTGATGTTATCTTTTCAGAGGCATATAATATGGTAAGAAACAAAACCTGAGAACCCCTTCTGCACTTTGTTTTATGTTAATTAAATCTCAACTTTTATTTTACCCTGTTTAAAAAGTATGGTCTCAGAGACAGCAGAGGGAGTTACTACTCAACTGGTTAGATCAATGAGTCATTTCAATATCAAGTTAGAGAAAAGATGCATGTTTTCTAAAAGCAGCCAGAGTTCTGTATTTCAAAACAGAGAAAATTAAATATACCAAGTAAAATTCCCAGTACTAGAAAGAAAACTAGAACTTGTTTCAGTTAACTGTCTAATTAAAAAACAATCATATAATCTTATTTTAAATAATAATGAAATTATATTTACCCTACTAGTTGTTTTTTGTTCTTTTTTTAGGGGGGATGGAGGGAGGCAGAAGACTATGAGAACAGTTGATTTCTATACAACAGGTTCACAATAAAAGTCACAATAAAACAATTTGACTTAGGCTTCAAAGCTGTTCATAAAACTGGTAGTGCAAGTGATTATTTGTTTACGTTTTAAAGATTTTCATACATTTCATAGAATCATTTGATTTGGAAGGGACCCTTAAAGGTCATTTAAGTCCAATTCCCCTGCAATGAAAAGGGACATCTACAGCTGCATCAGGCTGCTCAGAGCTTGGTCCATCCTGACCTTGAATGTCTCCAGAGACAGGGCTTCCACACCTCTGGGGCAACCTGTTCCAGTGCTTCACTATTCTTACTGAAAAAAAAAAATCTTACATCCACTCTAAATTTACCCTCTTCAGGTTTGAAACTATTTCCCTTTGTCCTCTTACCACAGACCTTACTAAAAAGCTGAGCGGTTGACACATTAGAAGGAAGGGATGCCATCCAAAGGGACCTCAACATGCTTGAAATGTGGGCCCTTGTGAAAGGTTGAGAGGAGACCTAATTGAAGCCTTCCATTATTTAATAAGGGATTATAAAAAGGAGAGGAATCAACATTTTACTTGGGTAGACAGTGACAGGACTAGGGGGAATGGTTTTAAACTCAAGGAGGGAAGGTTTAGGTTGGATATCAGGAGGAAGTTCTTTACAGAGGGAGTGGTGAGGTACTGGAACAGGCTGCCCAGAGAAGATGTGGGTGCTCTGTCCCTGGAGTTGCCCAAGACCAGGTTGGATGGAGCCCTGGGCAACCTGATCTGGTACCACACCTGGGGGTTGGTGGCTCTGCCTGTGGCAGGGGGGTTGGAATTTGACAATCCTTGGGGTCTCTTCCAACTTAAACCGTTCTATGATTCCATGACTATTTAGAAACAGACCATATCCTGTCTTGGAAGCAAGAGAGAACAAGGTCCAACACAAATTTCACTCAAAAAACGTGCAGATTAATCAGCACTGCTCAAACGCAACCTGAATATTACAAATCAGTATCCAAAGTAGGTGACTCCTCAAATATTACATCTTATATTAAAGATTCTCCATAATCATTGAAAAAGTTCATCTGAGGGTATTTTCCAAGCTATATTCCCTTTGATGTGCTGAAACTCTCAAATGTACAGTGGAGACAGGCAGAAGGACCCTGATTCATCTGTTCCATTTTCTAAAATATTTTAATATGGTAAACTTAGTTTTAAGAAAACTATCAAACAAAATAGTATTTATTAGAAAAAAAATGCATACGTCATATCTATTTTCCTAAATGCATAAAATCAAAAGCTTTTATTATTAAACAGCTGAAAGTACTAAAAGCCCAACTGACAATCTGTTCAGTCAATGATGTAACTAGTTAGCCAATAATACAAAGAAGGATAAAATGCTTAAATATTTAAAGAAATAAAGAGCATATAATGGTGATCAAGTTCTGCACAATATCTAATATAGTTCAGCATAAATATTACAAGTTAGATCCTGTGGTGATGTGACATGATTAAAAGACATATTGTCTTTTATATCATATTAAATATTAGATATTAAATTCATTAAATATATATATACTAAATATATTAGATGAACATCCCCCTTTAACTGCCTGGTTCTCTTGTGTTAACTATACAAGCTTAGGATTTTAACTTAGACTTACACACTTTTGCAAAGTACTTAAATGAGACAAGCCACATTCAAAATTTCTTTATCTGAATTTGTTCAGGGAATTTCAAAAATTGTATCAGTATTGCTATTACTACAAACATTTAGAATTCGACGAAACTGGAGGTAGTTCCTCAAAACCAAAGGGAAACAAACAAACAAACAAAGAAAAACACTACTTAAGATCTACCTTGGTATGAAAATTCTTAGGTATTTACCACCTGCAGCATACATCTCCCCTGCTTCTGGTGCCTTACATTACCCTATGATTGAGCAGCGTATATGCCAATAATGAGTGGATTGAAAAAAAATGAAATGTTTTACCCCATTTGCTTCTCAAATCACCAAAACAGTGTTACAAAAAAAAAAAAGTCTATTAAAATCACTTCCAAACATAACACAATTATGATATACATTATCTAAATAACAACTTAAGCTGTCACCAATCCAGAGCTTACAATATGCAAACATTAAATTGCAACAGCAATTAAAAGTGGTAGCTCATTTAGCAAAGATCTAATTTCAACTGCCACTCAAGGTCACAGATTAAATTTACCTATGCTTCGCAGAAGGGAAGAAGAAATGGATTGTGTCTGATGAGTGAAGTAACACAAAATAATTCCATGGTAATATAATTTTTCTTAAGACAGAAATACGCCTTAATCAGTAATTTTCCAATCTGTACTATTAAGAAAGCTTGAGGTGTTTCTACTTTATTTGTATGTACAGTATGATAAAGCATTATACTATAGAAAAAAAACTATCAACATATTCCAGCATTTTCTACCAAGTAATTGTATGTGCATACTGAAATACTTATGTATGTCACTTCAATCCATGGAAAACACATCTTTATGCAAGCAAAGAAGTAAGATCTTTAAACTGGGCATAAAATATTATCTTCAGCAATTCAAAATGAAAATTTTGTTTAACATGAATTGATATGTGCATATACTGCCCTCATGCTGTATATATCACAAAATGCAGAAAATTTTGAAGTCTTTCAGTAAGGAGAAGAAATAATTTATATAACTTTATAACTTATTTTATTATTATAGTAACAAAATATACTTTTTTTTTTTTCAAAATAAAAAGTATACTTACAATAATGTCTGTGGGTACTTCACGGTGTGAATACATTGGTTTATTTGGTATATCCTGTTTACTCAGTAGCTCAAAAACTGCAGGGTAAGTGAGCAAATTTATCAGACATAGAAAAGACTGGAGAAAGATAAACAAAAGTGAAAAAAGTGATTGTTAGTCAGGTAAGCATAAACAAATATATGTTAAATACTTTCTAAATTCATCTTTTTTTGGAGATAAATTGACATAATCAGAGCTTACAAAATTAGACTGCAAAAGTATACACACATTCTAAAAGAGCAGTAATCTCTGGGGAATGTCTATAAATTATCATATTTCACAAGTGGATGGCTTAGTGAAAGTTGAACTTTTTTCCAATGGAATAAATGAGATATAGAATCACAGAATGCCTCCTGTCCAGCTTTTTATCCATCAGAACCCCAGGTCCTTGTCCACATGGCTGCTCTCAATGAGCTCTTCTTCCACTCTGTACTTGTCTCACCTGCACTTGGACTTGCTGAACTTCAGTAGAATCTCATGTGTCCACTTTTTAAGCACGTCCAGGTCACTTTGGATGGCATCCCTCCCTGCTACTGTGTCAACTGCAACCCTCAGCTTGGTGTCACCAGTAAACTTTCTAAGAGTACACTTAATTCCACTGTCTGTGTCATTTACAAGGATGTTGAAGAGCACTGGTCCCAAGATGGACCCCTGGGGGACACCACTTCTGACTGGCCTTCACCTGGACATAGAGTTGCTGACAACAACACCCTGGCTTTGATCATGCAAGCATTTTTTTAATCCACTTAATAGCCCAGCCTTCAAATCCATGTCTTTCCAGTTTTGAGATAAGGAAGTGGTGTGGGACCATGCTTTCACAAGTCCAGGTAGACAATGATAATTCTGGAAATAACTTTAGAATTATTCTAAAAATTGTAATACTTGCATTATGATGTAATTATAAAATTTTGAGATACAGCATACTCTAAAACACACTGTTCTCTCTGATCTTACTACAGTAACTGGAGACTTTAAATGAAAGCCAGAATTTTAACATTCTTATTTCTGTCATTCTTGTCATTTATTACATCATCTTTAAATGGATCTTTAGCATTATGACCTGCCATGCTACAGAAGAATTTTTGCAATCGGTAATTATTTGACTAGCATATTAGAGCAATTTTGTCTCACACACCAAAAAGTAGGTATAGTTACAATAAAAAAAGCTATCAAAGATAGCCAATAAAGATGATTATTAATAAAGTTCTCACCTTCTGACAGCTTTGGTCAATAGGGTCAACTGGAGTAGATTTGGGTTGAGTTATCCTCACATCATCTTTTCCACACTCCAAAAGAGCCCACAGTTCAGCTACAAATGCCTTTATAAACCCTAAAATAAATATTTGTTCTAGCCATGAGAAAAAATTTTACACCAAAATTCTAACTCAAATTCTCAAAATTTTCTACATTTCTACATTCACTAAAATTTCTCAAGACAGACTGCCGGAGACTTACTCTTTCCCTTCTAGTCTCAATCCTTTGGTCAAGCTACCTTTCTACAGTAGTCTGCTTATATTCAATTTAAAACCTACAGCAGCAGTTTGAAAAGAACACTGTACTAGAGGATGATGTTTATATAAATTATGTTTTCCATGTAAATAAGCTTCTGATGTTCCTGAACAAGTTAACTGCTGCAGATTGAGGCTTAGCTCGCACTGGCTCTGTGGTTTTATTGGTGACTTACTGTAAATCTGTACTTACTCACATTTTATCGATGAGTTATGGAATAAAAATGGCAGAACATAAAGTTCAGGACTGAAACATTACTGGCTGAATTTAAAATGTTCAATGTGCTTTAAAAAAAAAAAAAAAAAAAGGAAGAGAAATAGCCACTTATCTTTAAAATCTCCAAGTGTAAGTTACAAACATAAAGTTTGTATAAGTATAAACTTCACAGACATTACCCAACCTGCTCTTAACACTGAAAAATCAATGCAGATTATCCTTGGCCAACCATTTTTCTTTGATGCCGAAGGCCATAAGAAGCAAGCTGGCTAAGAACCTTAATCAGGACAGATGGAGTTACTCAAGTAGATCTGCTCCCTGCTTTCTGAAAGATCCCAGAGGCATAACAAATAACTAACAATCAGCTTCCTGAATTGGTAGAATTTCCCTGCCTCTGTATCAGTATTTCAGCCAAGCTTTACTTTATTGATAAGAATCTAGTTAACACAATGACAATCTAATTGACAACAGTTGATTTCTCTAAGCACAACTCTGAAGGAATTTTCTGGTATGGGTTGACACGTAAGAAAAACCATCAGTTCAAAAAAAGACTCACTTCCATCTCACCCTTGTGCAAGAGTGTCAGTGACACTCCAGTATACGACATTTAGTTCAGTTTCTCACTCTAAGTTGTCAGTAGCCCTGGAAAAATGCATACAAATTACAGGAACCAACACCTCATAATTCTGATCTGCAGATCAGTAAGAAGTATTTGCAAATTATTAATGGCTTTTTTTTTTTTTGGTAAGAAGTCTTCAACATCTTCATGTACAAACATGAAATTTCTAGAAATCCAAACCAATGAAGTAAAGATTTTATGTAATGTACGGAAAAAAAGATATCAAGATAAATGAATTCCTTAAATGCCTGAAAGAATAAATTTCCATCAAGAAAATTAATTAATTAATTAACAGGCATTTAAACAGCCTTTGCTAATACTGCATGATTATTTCACACAGTCATCATTTTTAGCATCTTTCTCATCATTTATTTTTTTTTCCAATATGCTCAACTACGGCATCTAGCTACTCATAATAACATCTTTCCTAAAATTACCTGAACTCTGTAGAGCTACTGCAGCTGTTGGTGTTGTCGCCATTTGTGCAACAATCACTCCATTATCAAATTCTTCATGTTCATTTGTCTGTTAGAAACAGTACAACATCAGTATGTCAGAGGGCATAAAATTCAAACAATCTTTTCAACTATTGATTTTTCCTACACTTGTTTACAGAATTTAATCCACTGTATCATCAGACTTGAACAGTTCATATATTATGCTCTACAGTCTTGCCAGGGTCAGATTCCAAACCAAACCTCCTTATCAAGTAAATAATCATATAAAAATTAAAATGAAAAATACAATGGCTGGGAGATGTAACATCAAAGAATAAAAGCTTCAGTATTATTATGTTCTTTGCATATTCAATTAGATGTACGTGACATTTTATTTTTTCTCCAAGAAATGCATACCATCTGATCTCTGGTTACACGTTAGAATTTCAAGTGCAGCCTAGCATATTTAGATTTCACCTATCTACATGGTCTAGAAAAAAAAAACAGAAAACTTCAAAGAACAAGAAAACTTTACAGAAAAGAGTCAGGAAAAATAAATAACATATACTGGAATTTTAAGATGATTAACATCCAACAAAATTAAATGTATGGGTCACTAACATCAAACTTGAAGATCTACAATTTAAAATTTAAATTACAAAATGATTTCTCAATTTATTTTCTTATTAAGATATTTCTTCTTCATGTTATTATCATCATTAAAAGAATAAAACCACTGTACCTGCCCAATAACACTTGCCTGGTGTTTTTTTGATAAACTGTTGAACATAAAGTTCACACAGTCACTCATGGTCCCAGTATTATGAAGCAAAAATAATCCTTTAGGTGTGGCTGAAAAATTTAGCAGGGCATCTAGCAAAGTTTCTTCCCATAATGCACTGTAAGAGGAGGAAAATAATAAGTAAAAAAAGAAATTAAAACTAGTTTAAAAACAAACAAACAATTTAAAAATCAAAAGGTTTCTCATTTAAACAGCAACAAAAAAAATAGATTTGGGAAAGTTGTATGTAACAGACTCTTACTTTGCACAGACATCCAAACTTATCCTGAAAGAAGGATAGGTCAGACAGTAAGGAAGGAGTACAGAATAGACAAAATAATGCAATGGGGAACCCAAAAGATCTATATCATCCTTACATGCTGCTATGATTTTTATCTAACCCTGGACAAGCCTATTAAGGCATTATTCTGGCAGTTACAAATAGGCAAAGTTGGCACAGAATTTGTCACTGATGTAAAAACACTATAAGGAACTAATAAAAACTTGCATTCTAGGTCCTGCTAGAAATTAGTACAGCTTTATAAAAATAAGGCTCCATATTTCTAATAGCTTCCTGTACTAAGAGTAGTAAATGGAAAACATTTTCTACAAACATTTCAGGAATGACAGCCATCACAAGAATCAAATATGATATCTTCAGACCTACAAAACAGTCTGTACCCCCAAAACAAAAGTGAATCAATTCTACGTCCTTTGACAAAGTACAATAGCTGCAAGCATCACTAGAATCATATGATTCTCCTTCACTAAAAGCACTTGCTTTCTCACTTTTTTTCTCACTTGTAGTTCTCATTTCTCACTTTTGATTCCTATCACTAACAGAAGCAAGCAGCTGTTTTCATAGCAATCAGCCATTACCCCAAAATTTAAACACTTCTCCTAATGCCTGCCATGTCATGTTCAGTAGCAAAAATTTCACCTAGAAATATATCAGCTTGACTTATTCCATAAAGAAATGAAAAATCTAGATGACAGAACAAAATTGCAACTTATGCCACAGGTACTGATTAGTGACAGCCTCTTTACTCACAGTTCTACATCTCTGAATTTCTTTCTATCACTAATTTTGAACTGCTATAACCAGTTTGCAAGCCACCATTAGAGTATTAACTGTCGAGGAATATTTGCAAATTGTATATGAAATCTATGGTAAACTATAAACAAGAAAATCTGCTTGATTAACCAGGTCTTTACCATCACTCTGAATTTTCAGACTCACAGATGTCTGCATGCTTCCAAATAATAAATGTACAAATATCTATAAGGCACATTATATTTCAGTACAAAAGCAAGGACATCAATCTTAACACATACTTGACTTTGAGCAAGAATTAAGGCAATCTTGCTGCACAGTGTTTTGACAGCACAGATACCATTCAGAAAAAGAGTTTTAAATTAACACTATGTCAAAGCCATTAGATAAATTCTGACAGCTATTTTGTTTTATGCTTTCTAATTCACATTTTCCTCAAACCAATTTCTGAAGTCGAAGAGAATCAACTCAACTGTAAGTCAGCTTAACATAGATTAGATATAACTGTGTGAGCCAAAAAAGTCATTAAAGGTCAAGAACAATTTTGTGACTCAACTGATACACATCCTAGGATGACATCACTCACATTATGCTTCTGGAAGAATTCCTAAAAAATACACACTGTTATAAAAACATGCTTAATTCCAAATAAAGTAATTGTGTGCATTCATATTTGGACATATTCAAATATCAAAGAACATACTTACATATTTTTTGAGTCCAGACTTATTGATAATGTGGAGTCTGCACAAGTTACAGGGGTAGGTACTCTTTCTGAAAGCAAACTTGCCTGTGAAATAAATAACGATAATAATAAACAACCCCTCTTACTGCTTATTTATTCCATTTTAAAATTCCAAATCCTGGTCACTCTCTTCTCATAATACATAAAAAATATCAGGGATCAGGGTGTAGCCTAGACTTTGTTACAGAATATACCATACCACTGACATTTTTTTTTTATTTCAGAATGCTCTTTCTTTGTGTTGTTTTTATTTTTTTCCCCCTCATATGTAAACCAACTTAAAGCTATTACATTTCTTTAATTGTAAAAATTCTCTTTAAAAATATTTTGTTTCCACTTTTTACTTAGACTCCCAAGTAGAAAAATTTTCAAGCAAAAAAATAAAACAGACTACATTTTATTCTGCTTCTGTCCCAAGTAACAGAAACAGCAGACTCTTGAACTAATAACACAGTATCAAATTTATTGAGCAATTCTGTCAAATTTTATTTTATTTATGAATTATATTAAATGTTATATATAGGCATGGGTATACATAGAGTTACAAAGAAAGATTTTATGTATGTGTGTGTATAAACAAACACATATATTTGGTGAGATTTCTAATTAAAAAGCTGTTTTAAAATAATTTGTGAAAAACAGTTTATATTTAGCAACGTTTCTCAAGATAAGGAGTACACTTTACCATTCAAATGAGAGTAGTCATTAATTTCAATAAACACAGTGGAATTATTCTCTTATAATCTAATACATACACATAACATTCCTATATTAAACTAATTAATGTCATGGACCTGTTAAACTTCCCTTTTATCATCATCTGTACAAAAATGCTAGCTTCTGTCTCAGAATTCCACTAAGATTTGCCATGAAAAATTTTTTTCTCCATCAGTCTTAAAACACAAAGACGTGCAAGGCAGATGTAAACAAATCATCAGTCTATCTTTCAAACACCTGTAACAAATGCTTGGATAGAATTTGTAATTTTTATTTTTACTTTACTCAAGATCAAAAATGTAGCTGCTTTAAAATTAAACAACAACAGAAATAAAAAATCATTAATACGGCAGTGAGAATTTGCTTTACTAAAATGTTGATTCCTGAAGTCCTGAATACGCAGATTCCTTTTGACCTTCAAAGTGATGTGAAGAAATAGAATTTTGTCAGTTAAATGATTCATAATTTAATTCTAAGCATTCATGCTATTTTCCTTTTGTATGTCAAAACAAGTTGTCTAAATGATGGTCTGTACCATAATAAAGCTTTTTTAATATGCAGAACAAGTATTTTGAAAATGCATGGTTGATGAGATGCTTTAGAGCAAATAACAGGAAATGCCCATCAAAAGCATATGCCAGCCTGACTGTGATAAACATTAAATAGATAAACGGGTTAGTTCAAGTAAGATTGACTGCTTACATAACAAGAAAGCATAAAAATAATAGACAGATTTTTGAGTTATACAAATTACAGCATGGTTAAATTGAACTAAACTCTATAATTCAATAAAAATCTCGCAGAGAAGAACGTAAATTTCAAAATCAACATTTTATAATGGGAATTTGAATTTCCTGTGATATAATAATTATAGTTATAATATTTCATTTTTTATCAAAATTTATGCTTTCATGATAATACCCTTACATGAAAGTAGTGAGAAATATCCAAAAGCTAATGATTTAAGTCTTCTATTCATGTTTTATCTGATATTTTCTGCCTTAGTATACACTGTGACCGTTTCTAAGCATAATTAAAGCATACAGCATTTGGCAAGAATAGCTGTTCCATCCTGTTTCCCTTGCAATCAATCATTTCCCTGCTTCCTTGTTTCCAAAAAAAGTCTTTAGTCTTTTGTCAATTTTTATTTCCAGCTTGGCTTGATCCTTCTCCTCTAAGAAAACATTTCACAATCACTGGAGGGGGGCTGGGGGGAGAAAGGATTCCGTTTTTCAATATAAAGTGAAGTAACACAGCTTAATTTTGTTTGTTTCCACTAAGAATTTTGGTATCCATAGTTCAAATACAATGTTTCAGCTTAGACTGAAGCCAAAACTGAAGTTTTGTATGTTATCTGAATATTGCCCAAGTTACTTTCATGATTTCAACATCTGTTTGAATTTTACTTCACTGTGAACTTTTTGAAAACTGCTTTTGCAAGCAGCACATGGTGTCATACTTCCATCTTAACAATGATATGAGAGCTGCTTCAGAAGTAATGCCTTCTATTTTATTATGCTGGCCCCTGATGTCAGAGACTAATGTTGGTCATATGACAACAGAGGCTGGACCTTCCAACCAATATTCCATTGTGTTCTGTTGCATTTTTACAGATGGCAGGAGATGCACAGTCTGACATGAAAGTGCATATGAAGCAAACCTGCGTAACTGAATTCTTCCATGCAGAAAAAATTGCACCTGTTGACATTCATCAATGCTTGCTGAGCTTTTATGGAAACCAAACAGTGGATGTGAGCACAATGAGGTGGTGGGTGGTGCATTTCAGCAGTGTGAAATGTGTGAAAGACAAGCCACATTATGGATGGCCACACAGATTTTTACAAACCTAATATGCAGGCCTATCATCATTGATGAAAATGGGTACCTGATCATGATGACAGTGTTGAAAAGCAATGTTCTGTAGCTAAGAATTTGCTCTATCAAACACTGTCATTATGCTCTTTGCACCTGCTGCAGTTTCCAAGGAAATAAATAGAAGGCATTACTTTCAGAACAACCTACATAATAATTGGTAAGAATTTTCACACTGCATATAATTATAGGAGCAATAAAAATAGAAAAAAAATAGTGAATAAAGCACGGATCTACATATCTCGTTCAGTAAATTTATAATAGAAAGCAGAACAGTCTTCACGGTTGTCCCATGATCTTTCCAGCAGAAAATGCATTGGACTAGTAATCAGATGGAAGTGAAAGTGTACACTCTACATAATGTATCCACACACAGATAACACAAAAACTCCAGTTTGTGCATCTTATTACAGTCTCTTAAGAATATCTCAGTAGCATCTAACCATTTAAGTCAATCGTTTAAGTCAAATATTTGTCAAATATTTTTCTATCTTCCACCAAAACTAATTGGCTTAACTTCAAAAATACTGAGATCACATCTGAGGAGTTTTTCTTTACAAAACAGCCCAGACTAGGAATGAAGATTAGATCTCTAGCAGACAGTGACAAATACAGAATCACAGAATCATCCACAGGTTAGAAAAGGCCTCCAAGATTACCAAGACCAACCACGAACCTGACCTACCAAAACCCATCACTTAACCACGTTCCTTAGTATCAATCACACTTATCAAATACATTCAGGGATGGGGACACCATCACTTTCGTGGGTGAACTGTTCTGGTGCTTGACCATGAAAAAATTCTTCTTAATATACTGTCTAAATCTCCCCCAGCCCCTTTCCTCACATCCTATCACTTAAAACTTTAGAAAAGAGGCTGGACATTCTCTTCACTGCAACCTCCTTTCAGCAAGGAGGCCCCTCCTCAGCTTCCTGTTCCCTATACAAAACAACCCCAATTCCCTCAGTCATTCCTCAAAAATCTTGTTTTTCAGACCATTCATCTTTGAGAATAACCCCTCAACTTTGAGAATATCTCAGTAGCATCTAACCATTTAAGCCAACCATTTAAGCCAAATATTTAAGTCTCTCTTCTCTGCACATACCTGAGTAGCCAAATATCCTTCCTGTAGTGAGGGGTCCAAAACCAAGCACAGTATTTCAGGTGTGTACAAAGGGATAAATCACTTCCTGAGTCATACTGGCCACAGTATTTCTGACATGATGGCATTGGCCTTCTTGACCAACCAGGCACACTTCTGACTTCATGTTCAGCCAGCTGCCAACCAACATTTCTAGGTACTTTTCTGCTGGACAACATTCCTGCTACTCTTCCCCAAGACTGTACCTCTACATGAGGTTGTTACAACTCAAGTGCAATACCTGACACCCTTGTTGAAAATCATGAGATTGGACTTGGCGCACTTATTTAGCCTATGCAGATCCTTCTGCAAAACCTTCCTACTGTGAAGTAGGAAGTCTTGTCTAACTTATTATTGACTGCAAACTCAGTGAGGGCGCACTTGATCTCCTCCATCTGGATCTCTGATAAAAATGTTAAACAAAATCTGCCCTGGTACCAATTGCTAGGGAACACCACTGGAGACCAGCAGCCAACTGGACTGAACTCCATTCACCAGGACTCTTTGAGCCTGGCTGTCCAGCATGCTCTTCATGCAGATAACTGGACACTTGTTCAAGGCATGAGCAACCAGTTTCTCCAACACTGACAGAAACAGCATCAAATGCTTTACTAAAATCCAAGCAGACAGATAGTGAACATTTCTAGCATCAATGACAACATTTAAAAAGGAGTTGATCGATGGATGATAGGCCTACCTATACATCTTCAGAATTCCTGGTTTAATCTTAAGACATGTAAATCTCAATTTAAGCTGCTGCTACGTTTACATACAGAAAGAAATTTTGAAAAGCAGAACTTCACTTTTAGAACAACTCCAAGCATTCTTATCTCACTTCTTAAGAGGAATCTACGTTAAGGAAAAACTGTCACATTAAGCTAAACCTCTCAAAGTAAGATTTTTCTAAACTTCCCAGTCCAAAATAAGATTTACCTTTTTCCAGGCCTCTCCAATTGATTCATGTAAGTCATAAGGAATTAGCATCTGCAGGCCTTCACATGTTCTGTACATCTGACGACATACAAAAATGAAAGCTCCTTTAACAACTTGCAAAAGCTCGGATCCAGATAAAAGAGAAATGTCGTCATGAAGAAGTTTCTTTGTAAACTGAACAATTATATGAACAGCTGTAGGACTGGAAATAAAATAACACTTTTAAAATGTTGGTTTGTAGTCTTCAGCGAGCCCTGAAAAAAATCCTTTGTCAGAGCTTAGTTAAATTTTTCTAGGAGTAGTGGAAAGAAATTATGACCCACTATGGAGGAGTCCAATATATTAATACTTCAACAGTAGTCCAAATAAAGGATGTAAAGCAAGTGATTTTACTTTACCTAGTGGTCCACATAAAACAAATATGCAGCCACTGTCTAACATCTAGCCCAAATGGCTGTGAACTACACAGACTGTGTTTTGAAGCTGAAGCTTCCCATCAGCATTCCATTATGTTCTGTTGTATTGTTACAGATGGCAGCAGAGGGGCAATCTGACAAAAATGGTGACTGACGTGGAAGTGTTTATGAAGCAAAAGTGTGTAACTGAATTCCTCCATGCAGAAAATATTGCACCTACTGACATTCAACAATGTTTGCTGAATGTTTATGGCGACAAAACAGTGGATGTTTGCATAGTGAGACAGTGGGTAGATAATGTGCTTCAGCAGTAGTGTGAAAGACAAACTACATTCCGTACAGCCATGAAGACCTTCACAAGCACAGCATGCAGGCTCTTGTTCATCATTGGTGAAAATACATAGCTAATCATGGTGGCAATATTGAAATGTAGTGTTCTGTAGTTGAGAATTTCTCTTTCAAGCAGTGTTCTGGTGCTCTATTTGTCTGTTGTAGTTTCCATGGAAACAACTAGGAGGCATTACTTTTGGAGCAACTCACATATTTCTTAGAAGTGTGATTTTACCTGGTTATATACATAAATCTCTCTCTTATACATTCTCAAATGCACTTCCTATTTGATGATGAGATATTTTTACTTCAAACACAAACAAAATATGCTACAAATAATTCTTTAAAACTCAGTACCTCTTCATAGTGAAATTCATTAAATTTCTCACTAATGTTATTCACTAATGTCTTCTTACCTATTTTCTTTTGCAGAGCTTTTATTTCCTCCATAAAGAAGAACAGAAAGACCATCTTCTGCAGCAGCAATCCTTGCCAAAATATCAGCAACATCAATTAAAGTGGTTTCAAGGCAATTTATAAATACCTGTTTGGGAGCCAAAAAAAAAGTTTTAAATTCATTGCTTTAGTAAAAGCTGTTTATTCAAGTCTGGCTTATATATGCAGAATTTGAATGAAGGTCACCTTTCTGATGTCTGCTGGATGGTTTAAACAAAAGGAAAGCAGCCTATGCTCAAATGCCATCACATAAAAATCTACATCACAGAAGGCAGTAATTGCCACTTTTAATGATTATGGCAGAAATCTAATGACTACAAAATACAGAGAACAGACATTTCTAAACTCTTTTCTTTTCCCGCAATGAACGTGGTAAGATTCTTGATAAGCCATCTAGTATCTGAGTCAAGGTGACAAACACATTATTGTTTTGCTGCATATGCACTGGAAACTCTTTGGCAAGACATGGAATTCCAGTCCCACAGAAAGATCTTTCACATCCAACTCATATCTAAGCAGCGGTAAGCCTAAACAGCCACTTGCTCTGTAACCATGCAGAAGCCTTCCCTGTTGAAGCAAAACAAAAGTCACCTGCCAATTTCTCGTTCATGTCAGAACACTGAACAACAGAGCTGTAACAAAGAGGGCCTGAGCATTTACCACTGGGATTCAGACTGTTTGGCCTGGTACCATCACCCGTGATTCTTCTACCTGAACAGTCCTAAACAGGCCATTACTCATTTGTAAGTGAACTTATTATTATAATGGTAGACAAGCAAAATACAAGTACTCCACACAAAGAATCTGTCAGGGAGCAGCAAGCACAGGTCGCTCTCCAAGGAAAACTGCAAGATAAGAGTGATGAAGAGGCATTCAGATGGGAGTGGGTCTCCATCAGATGGGTAGGCAGCCCTTCCACACCCAAGCAAAAGGAGTAGATAAGGTTTGCGATGGCAACAAGGTTCACCCAACAATTCAGATCCCTTCCATTGAGATGAAGGAAGTCTGAAGTTAAGCTAGGAAGCTGAGTCAGTGATTAACTAGGGTTAGTCACAACCCAGTGATAACCATGCAACTCAACAGTGGCAAGGCTATCACTGTTCTGGTCACAAAATCTGAGCTCAAACAAGCCAAGCCTTGTCTATAGGTTGGGGTTCAAATCAATGGGACGTGTGGCTTCAGTGTTGTTATAACACAGTATAGGCAGAAAATGAAGGTAAGAACTTTAAAAACATTCCTGAGAGGAGGGTGGACTGAGACCAAACTGAGGCTTCTTAGCAGAGACATTGCTGCATTGCTGGAACTGGGGTGATGGGTGGTCCCTGCTGAGGCTTCCTCACAGAGCTTTCTCAAACATACCCTTCAAGGCTTCACTCCATTACCATAGGCAGCCAAGCCCAGGGGTACGATAATTAGGGAGGATATGTACCCAGCATCTGTCAGTATACAGAAGCTGTGATTCTGCAGATCTTATTCTAGAGTCTTAAATGTGGTCACCAAAACTGTTCTTGTCTGTACACCTTAGTCTTACTATGTTTACTTATTACCTTTACTGTAAGGGTGACTAAGCAACAGCACAGGTTGCCCAGAGAGGTTGTAGCATTTCCTTAAAGGGATTCAAAAGCCATCTGGATACATTCCTGTGCAAGAGGCTCTAGGTAAGCCTGTTTAAACCAGAAGACCTCCAGAGATCTTCTTACAACTTCAATTATTTTGTGACTCTGTGAACATACAGTCAAGAGATAACTGGAGTGTCCCCCATCCAGAAACTTCAAATTACCCAGATTTATAAACAGATGCTGTACCCAAGAAAACAGGGTAGAATCAACAGAGATCAATTTTAGGCAAAGATGAGCTAAAGAGGAGTACTGTTCTGAGTGGCATTTATTAAATGCTTAGTATGTCAGAGCAGAGCACCACTACCCTAAAGCTGAAGTCCGCTGCTCAAATCCTTTCCATTCCTCTGTTATTCATCAGGGATCGCTGGTCTCATGGGAGACGGGATTTTCACATTGCTGTTTTTTCTCTCATTGGTAGATCTGTGTATTATATAGTGCACCCAGGAAAAATAGTCTTATTACTTTACAATTTAAGGAATTTACCAGTAATGCCAGCAGTCAGTGTAATCAGAGATAAATATTATTAGGACTTTGGTTTTTCTCATTAAAATTATCTCTGTAACTGAGGGTTAAAAGAACTGACATTTTATTTTTAGATTACTGCATTTGGCTGTTTAAAATTTTAAAGAAGGAAAACACTATGCTGTCACTTTCTCTTCAGAATAGTACTATTTTGCTTTCCCTGTGCAAGAAAAAAAGACACTATTTTCAATGCGAATACTATATTCTGTACTAGTTATGCTTCAGCAGCAACCCAGACACCACAGAACTCAAAAAGTCAAAAATATTGCTCACAAACAAATCCTTTTGACAATTCCTACTCATAGTCACCAACTTTCTCTCTCTACTGGAGATATGCAATACCACACTGCTTAACAGGTAAAGTCTTTACTCTTAATTAAAGCAGATGTGTAGCCCAAATAACATGGTTCATTAGGCCCACTGTGCAGCTAAGGAGCTTTGTATGCATCTCCAATGCCTTCCATTCTCAAATGAAGCCAGGCACTCGGCTGCAGGCCTCAGAATCTGAGACAGCCACAATCCAGCACTGGAGAGCCACATCCTTCATTACAACGTTGGATTCATGGGTGTGTCTGTGTGTCTACTAAGTGCCAGTGGTTTGCTTGGGAAACAAGAATTACAATTCTGGTAAAAGGGAGAAGGCTGTCCTAACTTTGTCAATCTTTCCTAGTTGTTGGTTTGCCAGATTGGATACAAAATAATTTGTACCTTCGTTAGAAGAAACATGGCACTTTTCAGATTCACAATACATACATAGCATGCTACAGCTAATGGGCATTAAATATTCCTAAATAAGACTTGATGGTGTTTTTTTGTTGTTGTTGTTCAAAAAATCTGTTATTAAATTGCATGATTTCTTATAATTGGTGAGAATTCAGCTACCTGTGAGTGACAGCTGGGTATCACATAAAAAAAGAGAAAATGAAGAGCTGTTAAAGACTGACTTACTACCTTACCAATCAAAAAATTACTACTGTATACATTTGTCTCTCATTATGCTTTAGAATCCAATGAGACCATAAAGACTGCTTGGAAGACTACCCAGCCCTCCATCTCAGCCAATCCACGCATTATCATCTTAGTACTATTTTTTAAAATGTAATGATAATTAGTGTCTACAGTGTATTCAGGCTTAACAATGTTTAGTCCTTCAAAAAATGTGCACTACATTTTTTGCAGTCTGCAATAAAATCATGACAACTTGAAGTGTTAATTCTGAAAAGTATCCATAAATATAAAATAAAATGTGTAAGTGATGCTACTTAACTCAGTAGAGACACTGGCAAAAGAACTAAGAGTACTGACGTGATTTTCAACGCTATAGTTTTAAACATTATAGACAGAAATGCTTTAAAATATTTGAAAATACTGTAAGCACAGGAATATTTTTGATATGCCTTAATACGAAAAATCTTTCCTAAAAATTCACAAACAGCTCAGAAAAAATAATAATCAGGAGGGTATTAAAAAAATTAAGAACCTAGATGAGATAGTAAAGTTAGGAATCTAGACTGTCTTTTGCACATCTGAGTATCTGGAAACTAAAAACTTCTCAGCTATTAATTTCTCTCAAATACCATAGCTCAGGCTCTTAATGCAGGTCCTCAATTTCTCTTTCTTGAGATTTATAGTTACCTAAGGCAATGAAAGCATGCTGTCAAAACAAAAACAATAGGATAAGCTGAAACTTAAACCTCCTTGCAAGGCAAGTTCAACTAAACTTTCAAGTACTTAAAGGTAGACAGTATTTCACAAGATTTGTACAGATCTTAAAGTGTTTTTTTTAAATCTCTTCCTTTTACCAATTCAGAAAACTGTAATCTTCCATATGGCATTATGTATTTTGTCCACACTAATTACTGGGAACGTTTAATTTCAACCTGTCAACCAAATTTAGAAATTAAAAAAAGTAAGTTTCCTTTTAAATAGCAGACAGAGTGGATTACAAAGATAACATATAAAATAGGAAAAAGCATAGGAAGAAAAAAGTTTCCAAAGGGAATGGTCTCACTACAGTTCAATTTTTTCTACTATTCACAAGATTTGAAGAAAACTGTATGACAAATGATAATGACATTAAGTGATAAAGGATAATGACAATATATATCATTTAAGCTTACTGTAATAGCTAAAGTAGAAAATACTATTGGAGTTACCACATGACAACATAAATTTTCTGAAAAAAATACTAAAAATATAATATACTACACATTCAAAATTTATTCTGAAGACTACTACAAACCTCTGTACCATTCAGTAAACTTTGAAGAGGCTTAAGTAGGGCATCCATCACTGCATCTGTATATAAACAGTCAGTAGCACACCCTGTTTGATCACAAAACACTTGCAGAATCTCCATAACGAGACTTCCTGGAGAATAATTGTCTGTCAAACACAAGAATTATGAATATATGTATTAAATTACATAAACATTAATATAGTATTTACATAGGCTACATACGTATAACACTTTCTTTAAGCAATGGTTTAACAGTTAGAGGGAGGGAGAAAACCTTATAGAGTAAGGGATGATAAAAATCTGCACAACAAACAGACCAAATTATTATTTCTTTAAATGTTACCAGAGATTTCGCTATTATTATACATTTTAGCATACATTAAAAACATTTACCTGTATGTGCTGTCAAAGCCTCCTTTGAGTAACTTGGAGAGTAATAAATAAGTTGAGTAAATAATACCAACAGATCAGTTAGGGATACGCAATCTATAAAAAAAAAAAAAAAAAAGCACTCTGGAAACTCAAATATGACTGCAATTTTATAAATTTGTGAGGAAAGGGCTGGTATTCATGAAGCAGAGGACACTTAGAAGATGAGATTGTTATTTTTGTAGGGGAGAGAAAAAAGTAAGTATTGTCAAAAGATCATTGCTTACATGGAGTTATACAAATAATATATAAATGAAAAAAATGGTTCAGTGAGTGGATGTTTCTTCCTCACAACTTCCTATAATGGGTCTCTTAAGGTCTGATCCTCAAATTGGAGTTATGAAAAATCTTTAATAGACATAAATACTGCTATCCAGAAATGCGATTAATTCTATATTGGATTAACAGAGATGCTAATGTAATGGAAAGCTATGACTGTTATCACATTGTGTATCACTAAACGTAGATTTCTCTGCACTTCCAAGGGCTTTTCCATCTCATCTCTCCTGTAGTTACTAACACCTCTGTTCCATAGCTACCGATCATTCCCTCTGCACTGTTTTATTATATAATTAAGTCAAATTCAGAGTAATTGGTAAAATTATATTTAGTTTGAAGTACTGATTTTGTTTCACATGTGAAATCTCCAAGCACTTCTCTTTCCAATCATAGAATCATAGAATGGCCTGGGTTGAAAAGGACCAAAATGGTCATCTAATTTCAACCCCCCTGCCATGGGCAGGGTCACCAACCACTAGACCAGGCTACCCAGAGCCGCATCCAGCCTGGCCTTGAATGCCTCCAGGGATGGGGCATCCACAAACTCCTTGGGCAACCTGTTCCAGTGAGTCACCACCCTCTGCATGAAGATTCCTCCTAATATCTAACCTAAACCTCCCCTGTCTCAGTTGAAAACCATTCCCCCTTGTCCTATCACTATCCAGCCTTGTAAACAGCCACTCCCTTTCCTGTTTATATTCTCCCTTCAAGTACTGGAAGGCCACAATGAGGTCTCCCCAGAGCCTTCTATTCTCTAAGCTAAACAAGCCCAGTTCCCTCAACCTTTCCTCATAGGAGAACTGCTCCAGCACTCTAATCATCTTAGTGGCCCTCCTCTGGACCCACTCCAAGAGGTTCACATCCTTCCTGTACTGGGAGACCCAGGCCTGGACGCAGTACTCCAGACGGGGCCTCACAAGAGCCAAGTAGAGGGGGACAATCACCTCCCTCTCTCTGCTGGTCACCCCTTTTTTAAGGCAGCCCAGAACACAGTTGGCCTTCCAGGCTGCAAGGGCACAATGCTAGCTCATGTCCAGCTTCTCATCTACCAGGACCTCCAAGTCCTTCTCCACAGGACTGCTCACAAGGAGATCTTCCCTCAGTTTGTATAAATACCTGGGATTGCCCCAACCCAAGTGCAGCATCCTGCACTTGGCCTTGTTGAACCTCATTAGGTTTTCACAGGCCCATTTCTCCAGCTTGTGCAGGTCCCTCTGGATGGCTTCCCTTCCTTCCAATGGATTGACTGCATCGCTCAGTCATCCGCAGACTTGCTGAGGGTGCACTCAATGAGATCATCTATGTCATTCATGAAAATGCTGAAGAGCACTGGTCCCAACACCAACCCCTGAGGGGCACGGCTTGTGACCGGCCTCCATCCGGACACGTAACCATTGATCACGACCCTTTGTCTGTGTCTAGCCAGCCAATTCCTAATTTATCAAACAGTCCATCCTTCAAATCCACACCTCTCCAATTTAGAGAGAAGGATGTGGTGAGGGACCATGTCAAAGGCCTTACAGAATTCCAGGCAGATGACATCCCACAGCCATTCCCCCATCTACTGAAGCCATCTCTCCATCATAGAAGGCCACCAAATTGGTTAGGCACAATGCACCCTTGGTGAAGCCATGTTGACTGTCTCGAATCACCTCTTTATCTCGTATGTGCTTAAAATAGCTTCTAGGATCCATGGAGCTCCATGACCTTCCCAGGCACAGAGGTGAGGCTTACCGGCCTGTAGTTTCCCAAGTCTTCCTTTCTCCCTTTCTTAAAAACAGGAGTAATGTTTCCCTTTTTCCAGTCACCAGGGACTTCACCAGACAATTATATCAACTGCCGTGACAAAAGATATTACTCATAGCTAGAAAAACTGAATCATATACTGATCCAACTCTCCTTCAACATGAAATTAATACATATATTAAGTATCGGGAAAAAAAAAGCTCTATTCAACCATATCCATCAAAGATTAAAAAACAGTGCTGAAGCTGAAAATTATCTATGTCATCTTTTACCAAAGTTTGGCAGGCACAGAATTGCTGAAACAGAACTTCATCTTGTAACAGCTACAATATTGCAGTGGAAACATATGTAAGTATAAATATAACGTTGCTCAAAGGTTCCTTTTTCATCACCTCTCCTCTCACCTTTTTTGTTTTTCAGTTGTACTGGAAAGAGATTTCGGCCTTGCTTATAAATCAACAATCTGCCTAAAAGGCATAATGAATGAACAAAATAGATGTACTGCAATTCTGATCCAGTATAAAAAAACTTCTGCTCATTATCTACAACAACAACAAAAAGAAAACAAAATTAGTACTTGACTATATTAATTTACTGTACAATAGGTGGCTACTACTTATAATGTGTTTATAGTACATGTAGATCATTTTATATACAAAGAGTATAAATAATTAAAAGCTACTACTGGTGGTCTCTAAAAAGCCAGACATAAAATATTTGATTAAGAAAAAGAACAAACAGGATATCTTCCTCTTGAGGTAGCATGCTCAAAGATATTGAGAATGTGAATGCATGAGCTTGTAATGCAGTAGATGCAAAGAGACTCACTAGAATGCTGCTGAGAGAAGTCATTGACTCTTGAAGTTTTACTAAATGCCGCCTTGCAAAATTCAAAATAATCAAGACATTGCTGTACAGCTGCATTAATCTGTAGGAAAAAAAGAGCATATAATAACACAATACTCGTCATTTTACAAGAAATGTATTTACTTTGGTATCCTAGTATTGCCCATTAATAAAAGAATGTATAAATTCACATCACTGAAGCTACTTCATGTTTCAGGGCTTTGGAAGGGGTAACAGAAAGGATGCAAAAGTTTATATGGCTATTAAAACATATTAACACAAGCTTCAGCTGTATAAGCATGCTAAGCCAATCAATCAATCTACAAACAAGAATACAGAGAACATGTAAGCATTTTGAGAAGTTAATAACAATCCTCGATTGCCATACAATCATTACTATGGAAGATTTTCATTATACATATGTGAAAAACTTTGATGAGATTTTATCTACTAAATCTTAAGGTTGGTTACTGGGTGCTTCCAGCTTTATTACATAATATTATTCATTCACATAATACAATCACTATATATAAAAGTTGAAATTTTATCACCATGGAGTTAGAAAAGAAACACAATGTAGCACATGAAAAAAGAACTATGTTTAGACACTACATTCTGGATCTCTTGATTTTTTCACAGTGACAAAAACTTACGGATATGCACAAAAAGAAAAAATAGCACGCCACCCTTACTTTCACATCATTACATAGAACTACCCTTCTTATGGACTTCCTATCATAATCTTTTAGCTACAAGCCATTTGATTTAACTTACTGACACTTTTAACCCTTAGCAGTTCATATCTGACTTTCAAGAGTACGATTTTTTTCTGACTCACTTTACATCCAAATTCAGCAGAGAGTTGTTATTGCATTTTTTCATGCAACGTTTTGTATTTTTATACAATGACAGAAATAATTATAAATAAGGATACAAAATAAGGTATTAACAGATAATAACCCTACTTAAATATTTGCTATAAAACATTCAAAATTCCACTTACACAGAGCAGGTATTAAAAATTGACGCATTTAATCAAAGATAAAATTAGGGGGAAAAAAATTGCTCACAGAATCATAGAATGGCCTGGGTTGAAAAGGACCGCAAAGATCACCTAGTTTCAACCCCCCTGCCATGGACATGGTCGCCAACTACTAGACCAGGCTGCACAGAGCCACATCCAGCCTCATTTAGACTATGAACATGGAATAGCTCTCACAAAAAGGACAAAGCAAAAACACACAGAAATATCCTTGGGAAATACTTACCAAAGATTTATATTTCTTTTCCAAAAGCCTAAGTATCACTGTTCTGCTGTAATGTGCATGCTAAAATTACACAGAAGAAGTAGTGTCAATTCCAAATACAAAAAGTCAAAATTATTTCAAATTCTGTTCCATTAAGGATCCTGCGTGCAATATATATTCAATGTACTGAACTCCAGCTTGCTTAAAATAATACTATATTCAACCCAGCCTCTGTTTGCAGTAGTTTAAGATGACAAAAAAAAAAAAAGAAAAACTCTACAGAATGTGCAGCAGATCATACAGTAAAACATAATATCAATAACAAGGCTGAAGTATTTTATGTGTTTTACACTGTTGAGCAAATTGTAAATTACAAGTTTAAAAATGATGGACTGCAAAAATCTCTAACATCCACTGGAGCAGACAATTTGCATACCTTAATATATAACTTACTCTTAAGGAAGGGAGAGACTAGTGTCAAAGGGCAAAGGATCTAAATGCCTAAAGAAACCCAGATTTCCTTAATTACAGTTTTTATTAGTATAGCTTGTTATCAACATCCTATTAAGTCTGTGATAAAAACTGTTATGAGCAAAGTTTTCAAGATACGTCTGAAATCAACAAGTTTGGTGGGTTTTTCTTTTACTTTCTTTTTGCTTACCGTCCACTTTTTAAACCATATAGCCTTGATATCCATCAGAGCCAAAAAGTAGATTGGACTTAAGAAGTCTGAAGAGGCAGGATGATTAGGATCATGTTTTACTGACAACAGTGACAAGGTACTCTCCACTATTTCCTCCATGTACCTTAGGACATAAATATGAAAAAAAAAAGAAAAAAAAAGCAAAAATCACTTAAATCTGTCAGTAGTCTTCTAAACCAAACCTTATTGTAAATCCTTGCTGTTTAGGTAAAAATTAAATATCAACAATGTTGTCTTTAACTCAATCTTATAAGGACATTGATTCTTTATGTTACCATAAAAGAAATGAACAACAATATTAAGGTGTACTTTCTTAATTACATATTTTGTAAGCACAAAACGTCACATTTGTTACTTTGCAAAACACTCTGAAAGCCTAATAAACAGCTTAATATCATCCATGGTCACTCCTATGCAACTACCATATTCCACTTTTCTCTTCTTCTATTATTTTATTCTGTTATTTTATCCCTTTCCACTGACAAGTCATTTGCGCTAATATCACATGCATCTCATTATATGTCCAAAAAAAAAAAATCTACAAATTGAGAAGCAACAATGAATTATTGAAGGCAACATACTTTTCTGGATAACGAATCCAGGAAGATGGAGCTTCCTTTTGGTATTCATTTAACAGACGAACCTGTTAACAGTATTGTAAGTTTTAAAATTATCCATGATATTTCAAGAACAACAAAAAAGATAAAAGGCATGAAAAGTTCATGTATACCTTTTTAAGTATATGATTTGTGTCTGCATTAGATACATCCAGACCTGATGAAATACGAAGAGAATATTCTCCAGAAAGGAAGTAAAACTCCAAATGTTGTGCTAAAAAAAAAAAAACAAAACAAAAAAACAAACAGCCCAGCTCCATGACAAGACTTATTATGCAGTTTCACAGCAGAAGGTAAATGTTTTTCAGGAAGTACATGACTCATGAATTCAAAAATGTAATTTAATGCACATACCTAAACTTGTATAGACTTCTCTTGTCATATTAAATGGAGATGAAGAAAAGGTTTTTGCATAAAACCTAAGAATTTTCTCCTAAGAGAGAAAAAGCAAGCAAGGTATTGCATAGTCATAGAACTGCGTATCATTACTGCGCAATAAACAATATCTAGTGACACTATTCTTAACATACTGTTACCTCTACAGATCTGAAATATATTTTATAAATATATAGTTTGCTACCACAGAAACCTCCAGAACACTAGAACTGTTACCTGAACACTTCAACTGGCAGCACCAGTGCAAAGCCTCACCCCAGTAGCTGACTGGCAAATATTACCATAATTTTCTGTTAACATTAATGCTTTTTATGTCATTAAACATGCCAATGACTGTAACTAGCATTAAAACTAAGCAATTGTAGATCTTCTAAATTGAAAGAGTAATACATGACAGCAGCTCAGGCAACATTCATTAATTTGAAAATCACTTTAAAATTTAGAAAAGAAAGGAAAAAAAGGCTTAATTGGCATAATAAATAATTTGAAAGTAGTTTAAGGAGCTATCATATTCTCTCCTCTTCATTGCCTGCACCATATCTCTGCGTATTATTTTTTCATCATCATGGAGTATATGCCTGACTTAAATAGGAAATGTTAACATGACATGTTTTACACAAGATTTTTGCCAACATTTTGTTTTCTTTTACAATATTCAAACCCTTCATCCCTCACTAAAAACACATAGAAGAGTACTGTGGTGTCTAAAAATCTACTGAAGTCCTGCTGTAATCCTTTAAATCAAGACCTGATGGAATTATACAGGTCTATTTTTAGCTTCAAAAACTTTATCTCACAGAATCACAGAATGGCCAGGATTGGAAAGGACCTCAAGGATCATGAATCTCCAACCCCCTGCCACAGGCAGGGCCACCAACCTCCCCATTTTATACTAGACCAGTCTGCCCAGGGCCCCATCCAATCTGGCCTTGAACACCTCTAGGGATGGGGCATCCACAACCTCTCTGGGCAGCCTGTTCCAGCACCTCACCACTCTCTCTGTAAAGAGCTTCCCCCTGACATCCAACCTAAATCTCCTCTCCCTCAACTTAAAACCATTTCGCCTTGTCCTGCAGTTATCTACCCTTTCAAAGAGTTGATTACCCTCCCCTCTGTAGGCTCCCTTTAGGTACTGAAAGGCTGCAATGAGGTCACCCTGCAGCCTTCTTTTCTCCAGGCTGAACAAGCCCAGCTCCCTCAGCCTGTCTTTGTAGGGGAAGTGCTCCACTCCCCCAATCATCTTTGTGGGTCTCCCCTTGGACCCTCTCTAACAGCTTTCTGTCTTTCTTGTATGGGGGGCTCCAGACCTGGACACAGTATTCCAAATGGGGCCTCACAAGAGCAGAGCAAAGGGGGACAATCACCCTGTCCCTGCTGGCCACCCCTCTTCTGATGGAGAGGCATCAGACACATACGCAAATAACAAGTCCCTTAGGACCTTGCTGACTACACATAATATACATGTAACTTCTTGTTCTTTTTCAATACTATTGAATACAGCTATATATCTAATGACTCTGTACAAAACACTAACTTACCCTGAATATTTCATCAGGATCTGACAGAGACATCGTCAGGTGCTTACGCAGATTTGGCCAACACTCAGAGTTCAAAACATCAGACGGAGGGGCCAAGCACAGTGTCTGTAATGCTTCTTGGCGAACCTGAAGAGTCAGATAGACAACGCAAATCTGTCCAGAGCAACCTTTCAAATAAGTAATTTACAATTTAATTTGGAGGAAAGAAGAACTGGACTTGGCTGTACGACAGATAAGGAGTCCCAAAATACCTTCCCATGGTGATTAGGGAAAAACACTATGTCTGTGAGATGGAAAAGAAAACCATATATATTAGGAAGCAAGAAAACCATTTTATAACATTAGGTTTTCAATACTAGGTGAAAGGACTGTATTTATTTGTCTTACCTTCTGTTTGTCATCAAGTATTTTGCTACCAGGGAGTACATGAAAAACACCACCAAATGCTACAACTGCACCTAGCTGTTCTTTAAAACGTCATAAGGCAAATTGGAAATATAGTTACTAAACAATCTGTATTTTATTGAACTTTGATTGGCTTCATAACCTAAATAATTTTAAATAACTTTTTTATTTTTAGATGACTGTAATCTCTAGTCACTTTACATTACTGAAATCAAATGAAATTTCAACTGTATTAAATAGCATCAGACACATTACCTAGGTTTCTAAGAAAACGTGACTTACATGATCACCATGTTTATACCAATTTTTCCAAGTTTCAAAATCACCAGCAGCTGAATGGAGGTCAGAGACCCAAATTACCACTGCCACTGACAGAAAAGCAAACATAACTTGGACATTACACATTCAACTTGGGTTGTTGGCAAATCTGCAGGCATCTCTACCCTGAGAGGGATAACGCAAAGGACAACATGGAATTTATCAAAAAGACCAAAAGATGTGTATGTAGGAAACCATGGTTCAGCTTAAGTCTTCACATGAGCAGTTTTAGTTATAAAAAATTGTTATCTATAACACACAAACTCCTGATCAAAAAACTAAGATACTTGCCACAACTACGGTTTTTGAGCCTGATTGTCACGATGAATGAAATACTGCACTGTCATGCACTTACAGCACTGAAGCCAAGATACAAGAAACAAGACAAGATTCCACTTTTGTACATAAGAATGCTTACATAGTAGTCTGTTTTCCAATATACCATAAACATTAATTCGTATCAATCTTTTAAACTTACTTCCTTAGGCTGAACAGGGTCAAGCTTTTCCACAAGCAGCTGCAATTGTTCTTGACTCATGAATGTATAACTCTGTAATACACATTATACAATGAACACTCATGTATTTAATTAAGCTGAACAGCACAAGATTAAAATAATCAGTCTTTCTGTATCTAATTTACTTTTAATAATTAGAACTTCGAAATGTTGAACTTAATGTTAAATTAGTACAGATGTTAAATATTTTCTGAGATTTGGCCAAAGGTAAATTTACAGAAATAAAAATTTCCCTTATAAATATTGCTTTGCTTCACTTAAAAGTTTCCTGTATCTTCGTAAAACGCCCCATGATAATTCATTAAGTAGTACAGTGAAGCAGTCCAGAAATAAAGTATATATTATTTGGCTTCTAAAGTAAAATTACAAAAAAAGTTGAATAAAATACAGCTTTAACTATTCTCTTCGTCTACGCAATACTTGCATAGTACTTCAGAATGTATATATAGGATTCATCTCCAGTATATGCTGTCTGAAGGTCAAGCAGTTAGCATAAGCTCAGTACTTCAAAGTATAAGAACATTTCATTTATTTTCAACTATATCAAAGATAGGAAGCATTAATCATTCTCTAGGATTGCCTCAATCTCTGCTAGCAGAAATTTTGCTCCATCATGCTTATTTCATAACATAGAGATAAAATGCATTTACTTGATTGAATGAAGAGTCACTGTCGGAGTAGTTGTCTGTATAATAATCACTTTGACATTTTTTCTTGGTTTTACTATCCATCTCCTTATTACACATCTGATCTTCTTCAAACTTGTTAATTAAAGACTCTACCACAACCATCATGACATTCTTCAAGGCATGCATCATTTCTCTGTATCTTCAAGATAAAGACGATTTTCATATTAGATCATAGAGGTAACAAATTCAAAAACCCCACATAATTAATTAGGTCGCTTAAAGTGAATATGGCATGTTACATAGATCTGAATGCAGTGAAACAATGCAAGAACAATGAAAATAAAAATGCAAATCCAAAATGAGCAACAAAATATGCAGGTATCCTTCATGAGTCAGGAAACTGTATTTCAAAATTGTAAGGTTCTCTTTTGTACTTCTAAAACCATTCAAGGAAAAAATCATTAAAATAATCCTACCCAGAGAAGTTCTTAATCAGGAAGCATGTGAATCCATTTGAGGGGAAGATCTGTGCCTGAGGCAACAGATCAGTTCTAATTATTGTTACTGTTTGTTTTTTCGGTTCTTTTTCTGTTGCAAGCCCTGAACAGAACCAGAAAAGAACATGCCAACTTGATTCAAGGTCATGAATACACGTCACAGAACCACAGAATGGCTTGGATTGGAAGGGATCCCAAGGATCATCAAGTTCCAATGCCAACCATCCATCATCAACCTCCAGATCTGATATTAGACTAGGCTTGCCCACGGCCTCATCCAATCTGGATAGAGCATCCACAGCCTCTCTGGGCAGTCTCTTCCAAGACCTCACCACTCTCTCTCTCTAAGAATATCTCCCCCTGACATCTAGTCTAAACATTCCCTCCATGAGCTCCAAACCATCGTCCCTTGTCCTATCACTAAGAGAAAAAGAAAGGTAAGACAGACCAAGAAGTAATAAAAATATGAATTACATGCATATACTCACTGCTTTGATTCACGCGTCTTCTTAGTAACGTGTTGGACAAGAGTATCATAGCCAGAAACTTCACTCTGATTTTGAGTAAAAGTACATTTTTCTGATTCTTCTTCAATCACAGAGCCCAGAGCATTATTTATATATTGCCTAAGGTATTTCACAAATTCATAGCTGAAACAAACATCCAAAATTAAAATGCAGCATTACTTTGTGATCATTCTCAAACATTTTTAGTATTGTATTAACCGCATAGGTATCTTACTTTAAGGTAAGGATTTACAGAGAAATAAACCTCAACTGTGAAAATACAAGAAAGGTTGATTTTCTTCAATATTCAACATAAAGAAGGAACAGTATCAAATTGTTAAGGTTTCGTAGACAAAAACAAAGTATCAAGAAATCTCAAACTTAAAACTGAAAAAAAAATTACTTTGAGCATCATTAATATATCAGTGTCTTATTTTGATTTTATCAAATGTAGATCCGTAGCTACTTTGTGTTAGTTACAATAAATTCACAGTAAAAAAAATTCAAACAGAAATCACAGAATCACATCATAGAATGGCTTAGGCTGGAAAGGACCTTAAAGATTATCTAAGCTCCAATCCTCCAACCACTTTATCATGTAAGCACAGAGGCATAGCTATGAAGTGTAAATAAAAGCAACTCTTACAAGTTAGCAGCTCTTGCTTTATTGGATATATTAAAAAAATCACATTATACTGAAGATAAAAAAAAGCACAGAAAATTTTATCTTGTATTATGATACATACTTTATCATTGAATTGCCTACCTCAAGTTCTATCAGGTGTAACAGCTCTATTTTTTTTTCCACAATTTCCTGCTTATTTCCCTTCCTATCTCACTTTTGTTCTAAAGGAAAGTAATGGAAATTTATTTCAAGAAAGACGTAAACACATTTATTTGCATTCTCCTGCCTTCTGTGCTAACTTTTCACTTCTGCAATAATGAAATTGCCCAACTCTCCATTTAATGAAAGATTTTATAAAAAACTTTTTTTTTTTTTTTTTTTTTTTGAAATAACATTTCCATGGTATACACTTCTGTAGTGACAGCTTTACTCTGACATATACAACAATCACCGAGTTTATACCTTCTTGAAATCCTAGTATTACCTTTTGCACCTTAAAAACATTTTCTAACAAGTGTTTCAGACATCTCAAAAACACTTCTTCACATGCAGAAGTAAGTCACACTGATCTGGCTAGTCTTAGAATGGAATTTCCAGCATGAAAAAAAAAAAAAACCAAACCAAACCTGTAAAGAAAACTCCAAGATTTAAATTTTACATGTATCAGAACTGTACCAGCTACTTATACGATAAAAATCTACCAAACCAAAATTCTTGATTTCTATTACTGCATTTAAACTGCAAATTGATTCAAATTTCCTTTTTATTCACTTTCTGAGGACCTTCTGCCTCTCTTTTCTTCATCACAGTAGAAAAGTTTAAAGTGAGGACTCAAAATCTGGTAAAAATGCTGACACACAATAACTGTGAAACAGAAATAATACTGATGAGAATGCAGAGATGAACAAAGGAAAAGCACGTGCTGCTAATAGAGAGCCTGCAGTCTGGATGGATGCTTTAAGCGTCAAGGAGAAAGCTTCCTAATGGTTCTAGCCATAAAGCTCCATACGACCTCCTTGAACTTCCATGAAAACCCAACCACGCAACTGTGGGTCATGAACATGTAAAGACTCCAACACCTCCAAAATGCTCCAGCATCAGAAACTAATGTTCTCATTGAAGAGAACATTTGTGAGCATCACTTGACATCCTATACATTAATTCTATGTCAAAACCTCCCTCATGAAAATGAAGGACTTGTTTGTATCCCAGTGGTTTACCATACCAAAAATAATAATGGATATAGTTTTAGTGTTCAGAATTGGAACACTATTCTTTTACTCCCACCAGTTGTAGAGTCTACCCCGTTCCCATTCACCTGATAATTCTTCTAGTAGCTTTTCAGAAAAAAAAAAATCAACAGAATTAATATCATGTTCTTCATTTAACTGTACATGTCCTCTAAATGAAAGCGTGCTGCTTACAAAGCACATTTTTAATTTTGATTTATCTATAACAAGCTTTTTACACTCAGGTTGTATCTTGGAAAGATACAAATGGGTGAAAGTGTGAAAATGACAGAACAAGAGTTTATGTAAAATCTCACTATTTCACTTATTTACTTTTGCATAACTTCTACCACTCACAACACAAAGTTAAAACTACGCAAATTTTAGCAAATTCCAGATAGTTCCATTTCTGAGGGGTTAAATACCAGGTAGTCAGCTTTCTCAAGAGAAATCAAGTCACAAAACTCTGGTCCATATTAAAACGTCTTCAAGATCATTTAAGCTTGATATTCCCCTGATTTAGCATAGACGCATCCTAAAAATCCTCCACAGTTGAAAAGCAAATATGTTAGAAGTGGAAGTTCATGGAACTACCATGGAAGTTCACATTTGACTTAACAGAAAATGTGATGTATTTCTGTCTTACACAAAATGTAAATTTAAGGAACAACTTACTGATAAGATATACAAAGGTTCAGTGAACTAAGCCACACAGAACAAACAAATATAGAAGTCAGGTAGCTTTTTAAAATTTTACTTTATTCTGATAAACAAAATTATATTGCCTTGCAAGTGTCAAAAACATCCTGATAATCTTTAGCTAGGACTTCTTTGAACTTCTGTTTATATTTCTGTTTAGTACCATATGAGTGCATGTGCATTTAGTAACTGAAGAGCTGTTTGTGAAAAATTTACAAAATGTAAATGTAAAAATATACAGTAAAAATAAAGTATCACCAAAAGTGAAAAAATGTCAGAATTCGTTGTATTCTCTAAATTAACAGCTCCTGAGATCTGATTACTGACAGGAGTCTCTCTATAAAAAATACATGTTAATTCACACATTGATACAAGCTGCGAACATTTTTCATGAATACCACGTTCAACATATTTTACCTCCTCCTGAATGTTAAAAATAGAAAAAATATTTTTACTTGTGAAAATTTTCATCAGTTTCCTCCAAATGCAAGAGAATCTCTTCTGCACATTCCACTGATGGAGCCCCAGTGATTTTTTCCTTCACACTTTGCAGCAATTGTCTAAGCATGGACTGTAACAGAGCTTCATCTTCATTTGTAAACTGAGACATCTGTAAAAAGTAAATTAAGAATAAAATGATTTCATTGTTTCTTTTTTTATTCTTACCTTAATATGCAACAAAAGCCTTCAATTTTTGTGCCTGTCATCAAAAGCAGGAGATGACGCTACAAAAACACATGACTACAGAGAGGAAGCGTTTGATAGTTCCTATCTTCCAACAAACTGGAATCAATATAGCCAAATCAGTTTTAATAGGTTTTCTGTTATCTTAGTGCAACATTTTCAATGCATTAAGAAAATTCTGAGTATTTTGCTTTTGTTTGTAACTGCGTGAAGACCAGCCCATAACTACAAAAGAAAAGAAAAAAAAAAAAGTTCCACATATATTATGACTATCTTGATGAGAAACCCCTAGAAGTCTCTCACTTTCTACTCAAGTACTGTTGTTGCCCAGTTCTGATTTTTGTATCCCTCCACTCAGAGCTAGAGCTACGCCTGTCGTGAAAGGTGCTGGAAGCTTTTGCAAGTAATGAGAATCAGGTGAAACTGTCATAAATGTTTTATTTTCCCATGGTATCAACAGCAGAGTGACCTGACAGAGTCCTGCCATTTCAGCATTACAACCACTGGGAAAAACAAAGAGCAGCAGAAGTGGGAAATACATGTTAAGTACAGAAGACAGCATTCTAGTTCAATTTTCAAGGGTTACCAACCAAACAAAATCCCTCAATTTCTAGTTCACTATTCAATAAGCTTAAAATCATGCACAGCTTAAACTTCTTTACATGCCAAGGAAAGTTTCAAATCCCTAATGCTAGTTCTACTTTATATACTTCTACTCTATTGGAGGAAGAATGATTTAGAGAACTTTAGAACAAAAATAAGCCAATCAAAAGACACTCCAAACACCTGTGAATAAACTATATGCACCCTTAGAAGTGACAATGGAATAAATCACTTCATGAAACTTAAAAAAAAAAAAAAAAAAAAAAAAAAAAAATCAGTTATCTAGCTCCAATTTGAGAAGTTACCCTTTATTAAAAGTACGGGGTAGCTGAGTTTGAAGTTCTCTGTGGCAAGTAGTACAGCTGATAAATATTTTATTTTGATCAAACATAATTCAACATCAATGCAACCATCTTACCAGAAACAGTATAAAAATAAATTAAAAAATAATAATAAATCTAATCCTTTGTGATATTCTTGTAACTCCCTGCTTTGCAGTCCCTCTGCCTTAAAAAACACACTCTCTTGGCAGTTAATCAAAGTCAATTCATTTTAGGTCTATACACATCACTCTCATAAATCTTGTATTTTGACCCTGACATCATCCTAAACTGCTGGAGAAGAAAAACAAAAACAAACATCCAAAATTCCCTTGATATTTGGAGCCAGGAGGCATTTTTAGAAGTGTAGGTGTTTGAATACCAGTTAATAATCCCTGCAAAGCACCATTCACGTTATTCATGGAGACAGATTATGGAAATACTGCAGTTTTATCTCTTTCTCCCTTTGAAATGTATAATGTGACTTACATAAGCACTAACTTGCTTATCTTAGCATTCACTTGTAGCAGTGTGTGGTTTGGGTTATTCAGCAGGCACACTTGCTTCCCTGCAAAATCTGAATTATCATTTCCTAGCTGTAACACACCAAACCCAGTTTGTGCACGCTTTGAAAGTTCGAATTCGTCACAGTGAAATCACTCTACAACCAAAAAGTCTGTGGGATGATGGAAGAAGTGCCCTGCTGCAGCCTGGGTTTATCCATGCAAAGGGGAATTTCACAGAAGCCCTTGTCTGAGCAGGACTTTGAACACAGACGTTTAGCAACGAACCACCGATTCCAGCCCACAGGAGCACGGATTGTGTCAGAACCCCAACCTCTCCCATTTCTTATCGTCAATCACTTCAACCGCCCATCAGGTTTAGGAGCAACCAGACTCCTCATGACACGTTATACAAACAGCTTCTGTTTTTCAAAGCGTCAGGAGAAGAGCACACAGCTCGCCAGGTTCCCCCCCCTCTGTGACTAACAGCATAGAACACCCTGCCCCAGTCCCCTCCCGCACCACCAGTCCCGCGCAGCCCCTAGCTCCGAGCGGCCCAGCCAGGCCCCGCCACGAGAGCAGGGCCCTCCCCGGGGCAGAGCCGGCCGCCTCCCCGCCCCGCCGCGCACGGAGCCCCAAGCCCCGCACAGTCACCTTGGGGCGGCGATGCCCTCCCTCGGCGGCGGCCGCACGTCTCCCCCAGCCGCGGCCCGTAGCAACCGGCGGCGCCCGCTTCCGAGTCTCGTGGGGCCCCTAGCAACATCGCGAGAGGCCGGCGGGGCGGGGAGGGCCCAGCCCGCACCCTGCTCCTCCCTGCACGCCCGGGGGAGGCGCTGGTGCGGTCGTTGCGTTGGCCGTGGGTGCGTCCCGGTGTTGGCTGGTTAAGAAGCCGGAGCTGTCGCTGCCTTCTCCCTTTGCTCGCCGACCACGGGGCGGGGGTGGTCTCCGTGTTGTTGGCCAAACAATGTAAAGGGACAGCGTCTCTTTATGCACATCGACCTCTATTCCTCCCCCTTCACACACTGCTCCAATACCGTGATGAAGTGCCCACCATCCAGGCAGCTGCAAGGGAAAACCCAGGGATTGAGTAGCTAGGGTGCATTCGTATGCCAGTAAAGTGGATGAAGCACTGAGACATGGCTCACTTTGCTGTCTTGTCCTTTGCTGGGTGTGTAAGGGCTCACCTCTGGCAGTCCCTGGCAGCTCCAGCCCTGTGCTGTGCAGGTCTTCCATCAGTATCATAGGCCTTCATTGACATTACTCCAGTTTAGAGCAGTATTTCTCTTTTCCAGTGCCATATAGCTTAGACGTTCATACAATCAACTCATACAATCGTGTGAGTTGAAAATGTAGGAATGGAATGTTGTTTCTGCATTAGATATCAGAATGGGGGAATTTAACTGGAGAAATAGAGGACAGTGTATTTGTATTTTGTAACTTGTCCTTAGAAATGGCTGATGTGAAAAAGTAAAAATAACATATATGTTAGTAGTGTATTTTAGAGATATAATTGCTGAATTATGTGATTAATTCTTGCTTGCAAAACTGCAATAGTTTTTAAATGTTGCAAATAGTATAGGTATAGTATTGTGGACTACAAAGCATGTTGTAAGGCAGTTCTGTTTGGATAAGAGACCCTCAGCAAAAGGAAAACAGACTTAACAAATATCAAAACAGGCAAGGCCTCCACACAAGGCTGGATTGCCTCACTTTGTGGGTAGATTGAGATGCAGCAGGCAGGCATCAAGATACACTCTTCTAGCCTCCTTCCGAATTTATCTCTATCCAAGGACAAGCAGATGTCCAGAAATAATGACCAAGTATTGAGTGAGCAAATGTTAGAAGTTAAATAATTAGTGATTTATGCTTAGCCAGCAAAAATCTATGTTTGGCCAGTATCAGTACATTTAGTTGAGCGTCAGGAAGGTTGTGAACATGAAGAACTCAACCAATGAGGAGCCATGGGAGGAAGAGATAAGCATTGGGTAATAGGACATAAAATATGTAACACTGTTTTCTGTTCTGCTCCTGCTTGTAGGACACCCACCATTGCAATTGCAAATAAGATCTGCTTTATCAGAGATATCATCCTGATAAATTATTTGGATATTTCCAACATGAAGGACTCTTAAAGGTCAACTAGTCCAATTCCCCTGCAATGAACAGGAACACCTCTGGCTACATCAGGTTGCTCAAAGCCTGGTCCAGCCTGACCTTGGTTGTCTCCAGGGATGGGGTTTCCACCAGCTGTCTGGGCAACTTTTACCATGGGATAGAGGCCTGGGTTCATAAACAGACTGAGGTAAGACAACTTCAAAATGGGCACATACCATGATTTTGCCCTACAAATAAATGCAAAATAGAAAAGAGCAAAGGCATTTTGATGTGATACTGAAATATTTTGGATTCCTAGTCCTCACTGAAAGACATTCTATTTTAGCATCCCTTTACTATCTTACAAAACAACATACTGCAGCTGTAGTAGCATCATAGGAAGTTGTTCTCTTTCTACCAGTGATGCTTCCAGAATCCTTCTGTTCCTTTCTATGCTCATCCACTTTGTGTTTCATCCAGCTGCTTTTAGCCACAACAGAAACCTGGAGCCTTTCTTCCTGAGCGGAGCTGGCAGATCTCAGGTGCCATTTGAGATGATCATTAACAGACATGCAGACAGATACCTCTGGAGGGTGATGCTCCAGAGTGAGAAATGCAATTCTAAAGTGCATTATATTTACATGAATGGATATCAGCCACATGAGACATTGAAATCACTAAAATTACTCATATAGATTTCACAGTGGTGAAATTCCACTGCCTCTTATAGCCAAGTCATCTTTCTCAATGCAAAAATGTACTACAGATGTTCTCTCCCAGCAGTACAAACAGGAAGAACCTTCCTCGGGAAGCTCAGGAAGACATGCAATACAAACAAGTTTTCTTCAGATTTCCAGGTTCTTAGAACATCAGACTGCTAATTTCAATGATTTTAGAAACTTAGAGGAACAATCAAATGCATCAGTTCAGTTCTTCAAACGTGTAGCATATAATCTGAGTTTCAAAATGTGAAATACAACAAGGATATGAGTCATTTGATTGCTACAGATGTGGAGTCCACGGTACAAGAGAGATGTAAGCGCGTCCAGAGGAGGACCACAAAAATGATTGAAGAAATAGAACACCTCTCCTGTGAGGACAGGCTGAGAGAGCTGGGGCTGTTCTGCATGGAGAAGGATATGAGGTAATCTGATAGCTGCCTTTCAATATCTAAAGAGGAGCTACAGGAAAGAAGGGGATGGAATCTTTAGCAGGGAGATGGCTTCAAGCTTAGAGATTTAGGTTGGATATAAGAAAAAAGTCTTTTACAGTGACAGTAGTGAGGCACTGGAAGAGGTTGCCCAGAGATGTGGTTGATGCTCTGTCCCTGGAGGCTTTCAAAGCAAGGCTGGATCAGGTCCTGGGCAACCTGATCTAGCTGCGCATGTCCCTGTTCATCGCAGGGGAGTTGGACTAGGTGACCTTTAAAGGTCCCTTCCAACTCTAAGTATTCTGATTCCGTGATTAATAAAATTATCTCCTCATATTCCAAAATTTGAACCTTTGGAAACAGTTTATTCAAAATTTTCCAATACCAGTATTCCAACCACTCCAGTAGTGTGGCCACACCTTAAATACTTAGTGCACTTTTGGGCACGCAGTACAAAAGAACATAGAACTATTAGAAAGTGTCCAGAGGAGGGCTATGAAGATGGTGAAGGGTCTGGAGAGGAAGATGTATGAGGAAGGGTGGAAGTCCCTTGGTTTCTTGGTTCAGCCCAAGGAAGAGGAGACTGGTGGGAGATCTCATAGTAGCCTATAGCTCCTCATGAGGAGAGCAGAGAAGCAAGTGCTTATCTCTGCTCTCTGATGACAGCAACAGGACTCGAGGCAACAGCATGGAGCAGTGTCACGGAAAGGTCAGTTTGGGTGCTAGGAAAAGGTTCTTTACCAGACCATGGTTGGGCACTGGAACAGGCTCCCTAGGGAAGTGGAGCTTGACAGAGTTCAAGAAGTATCTATACAGTGCTCTCGGACATATGGTCTCATTTTTAGGTGGTCTTATGTGGAGTCAGCTGTTGGACTTGATGATTGTTCTGGGTCCTTTACACTGGGGATATTCTGTGATTCTGTGAATCTGTGAACTTTCTGTAGGTCTAAAATATTCTTAAAGTGTCTGCAGCACAGAAGTTCAGAAAGGAGAAAACCATGAACAACAAAGGAATGTTCTTTACAACTAGCAGTAATGGTAGAAATAGTTCATCTTAATGCTAGCGATATTAAAATATGGAAATAATTTCTCTTCTTTCCTCTCTTTCTGGTTTCTCCCCTTTTCTTTTATTGCAAGATCACCATCCTTTTGTGGATGGCACATAAAGATCTGTAGAGATAAAGATTTTATGTAGTTAATACATATCCAAGATTTTCACCAACTGAGTAAGTACGACCTTTGCTATAGCAAATTAAAGGGGTTGGTTTTTGAATTTTTATTAGAATAACTTACCATAACCAATATCTACTGAAATTTAACTGCATGCTTTTGCTTGCCTGATAAGGTTTTCAAAGAAGCATTACTAAAGAAGAACTTAAAGTCGGGGGGAAACAGTACTTGACAAAATAATAATAATAATAATAATAATAATTCTAGAAGATTTTTTTTTTTTTTTAAATCAGCTTTCTGGAGTCAGTTCCCAAGCAGAATTGAGGCCATGTGGAGCCAGGATATCCCCACTTCAGCTTTTCACAAACTAGATGTCAGGAATGGAGAAATAAGTGTGAAATCTGTGCCTGGAGGTATGACAAGATGCCTGCGTCTCTTTTCTGAATACTCTGACATCCCTTAAACAGTTCTTGAACCCCCAGATAAAAGATGGAGACACTTCATCAACCCTTCTATGACTAGTGTGGCATTTATTGTCCTCTCCCATCATTATTCATGGAAATTTCCCAAATTTAAAGGAACAATGAGCATGTTTTAAAAGTTCACTAGATCAAAATCTAATCAAAAAATATCAAAAAAGACATGGCTTAAAATATTACTGCTGATGGGAAAGTCTATTTAAATAATCTCCAAAGGAAATTTTCTATTTCAGAAACCATCTATTCTTCCCTCCCTGTGTTCTCTAGGGAAATTCTAACCCATTGCTAGATATTTCCTTCTAAAACAAATAATAAGGGAACACTGGGAGGATAGCAGGCTGGATCATTTAATAGTTCCAAGTGAACTTGCAATACATATGTTAAAACATGTCTACATAGAATTTACATCAGTTCCATTACAAAGGAGAATTGAACTATCATGATTTTAGTGTAGTTATATCAGATGAGTTTGAATCTCACTAGTGAGAGCTAAGCCTATGTAAACCTTGTGTAAGCTCTTACACAAATCAAAAAATAAAATTGGATCAGTTTAAGGATTACCTATTTGGTAATTATGCCTCAATAATACTAATACTTCATAAGACTGAAGATCTTACATTGCTATTTCTGATTTCTATCAATGCAAAACAGATAGAAAATCAATAGGACTCTCTCATAACATTATAAAGCACCAGCTCAGAACCATCCTATCCAATAACAGCCAGGAATGTTATTGATTAAAAATGTAACATAGTGAATATCTAGATACTGATTTTTCCACCTATATGAAGCAGGTTGCATTTATAGATACTCTGTGCGTGCCTGTAAAAGTGACTACTAGAACAGAGATTCAGACAATAAAATCCACACTGCAGTGCAAAGTGACTGCCTCAGTGAATCAGAAACAAGTTAAGCTTCAATAACAATATAAATATCCAAATGCCAATAAAATGGTTTTCTGATCCACAAATCTTTCTTGGCAAAACTTTGAGGAGCTGAGGATATACATGTCACTGACTGAGAATAGTCTTAACTGAATCTCTTAACATTGAACTTACTTCTTTAGAAATTAAAGAAAATAAAGTGATCATTATGTGCCATTATGAAAATGAATGGCACAGAAGTACAAAATGATTAGCAAGCATCATCATAAATCTATGATTTATTTACCATCTCTTTTCTAATTAGTATTTCTGTTTGATTTTTCTCATATGCTTCCTGAAGGTGGCAGCAGTACTCAATAGTTGCATACGTGTCTGACTTTTGAACTTACTGACCTCCGTGGCGTTATGTATTGTTTATAGTACGCTAAGGTCGAATTTTGATGGCATAGTTATTGTAGTTTTGCACATATGATATACAATACCTATGCAGATTGAAGAAAATATGTTGACTTGGAGTGGCAAGTTACTGCATCTTTTGCAAATATGACTAAAAAAAATAATTTTAATTAACATTGTACTGTTGTAGAGTTGTACTGCTAAAGTTGTCCATTCCATTGATTTTAGTGAAGCCTGGATCGTGTACATTTTCTGAACTGTTAGCTGTTTTGGGGACACTGTTAGCGTTAGCACTTCAAAACACTACAAAAGTTATCTGTGATCACTGAGGAAAGACAATAGCCTGTCTATAGGGTTTCTTTCAGTTCCATTCTTCCACTTCACCTTAATTGTTTGCAATTACTGTTATTCAGGCCAACAGTATCTCACACTAGCACAGTAGGATTTTAATTCGAAAGTAATCTTTAACATTGCTTCTCCACTTTACCTTTTCATTTAGACACAGTACAGTTTGCATTAAGAGCAGTATTCTTGCCACCAAGGCAAGGCAATTACACTGACATTAGAAGCAGGAAACAATTCAGAGAACTCTGTTCTCCTTCCAATCCACAGGCAGCTGCCAGGTCTGGAGCTTGCAGATCCCGGTTGCAGTCTGGAGAATCATGAAGCTAGCAGCAGTACTGGTGCTAGGTGAC